ATTCTTCAATGGCGAGATATTCGAATCTCGCCATTTTTTTTCCGCGTTCCGTTTCTTTAGTGAGTCACTGTATATAATAAGATGCTGTCTGAAGCGTTTTCCAGTATCTCAAATCTAGTCTGCGTACTAGTTGAACAGTAGGAAATACTAACTGGTAATTAGCTACTACCGGTAAGTAATAGAGCCTATTGGATGCCAGTAGTTCAACCTATTGGTTAGATAACCTATACTAATGCTTGGTTATCGTTGTTGCTATTTGGTCACGACTATTGGATATTGCATTCATTAGTTATTCCAACCCATATATATTAGCGTATCGGTTCAGTTATCGGATAGAATATCGGAAATCCAAGACTACCGTTGGGTTATTGGCTCAAAGGAATATACTATCCAAGAAGCATTCGCGTTACTCGATAAGCGTTTAGATCAAGAAGAGCATGAAGAGCGTCGTTGTTTGTTATACGATTACATCAATGGTGAATACCAACTAAGTGCGTATGAAAGCCGGGTATTCCAAGAGTCAATTTATATGTATAACCAAACCAAGAAGTCTATCGAGGCAGATGATGTGATTAGTCCGTTCTCTAACTGGTTAACAAGTTTTCAAGTATCGAGTCTAGACAATTTACTTCGTGTGGTCCGTACTCAGGAAGACGAACTCTTTATGGAATGGAAGATAGCGTATCGCTATAAAGGTGACTATCGGAGATATACGTTTCTGGTAGATAAATGGCGAATGATATCGCGTCGTAACGAAATGTTAGCTACTGAAATACAAGAATTGTATGGTATCTCGAATTATATACACGATACACAAATGTGAATCAAACTCATTTTATGGATGTAAGATCTTATTTTAGAATGTTGATTTTACTTTCATTTTTTATTCACTATTTTGATGATACATGAATTGGTTGTCAAACCGGAAACGATTGAAGTGATAAAAGGAAAAGTTGCGAGTTAATTAGTACTTTTTACAAATTAACTGATTGATTGCCAGTAATAAATTAATTTCCGATTTTAGGGTAATCATTTGTTCGTGAATTTTATTCACGGTTTTTACTGAATCGAGCAAAGCTAAGGGGTGTCTTGCTTCGCAAATAGAAACTCGGTTCATGTATTATCCGAATATGACCTGGAAGGTCGAATCTCGATTCTTGTTCCCGATTTTCATTATGATTGATAGGTGGTGGCAGTATTGTACATTTTTCTATGTCCCAAGCGTTTTTGAAATTGTCCCGTCCCTATTAAGTCTCAACTGTCCCAACTATGTTCCGGCTATGTCCCGTGACAATACTGGGTGGTGGGGTAAGCTTCCGACAATACTGAACAGGCTGGACATTGCGAGACATTAGTAACAGTTTGCTTCTTTCTAATTTTGTCAATAGCCTGTTTTACTTTTGCATTCTCAGCCTTAAGCTCAACTAATTTGTTGTCTCAACAAATCTAGTTCCGATTCTGCTTCGAATTTGTCATTACTAATGCGCTATTTGTTCGTTTGTTATATCATCAATCAGAGTAATAATGGTAATGCAATACTAGTGGGGTCGGGCGTTTCTCCCGTACCTAACCCCACATCCCGAGATAGATTTCATCCCGCAAATTTCTTTACCATTTAATTACCCATCTGACGCATGTTCAATAAAAACAGCGTTCTTCTATATTAATAACCAATAACCGCCCGAATCTAGGCAAGAGCTTTATTTTTTTTATCATATGTGAAGCAAAAAGCACAGCTTTTAATTCGAACATAATTCTTGTATAAAAATAACGATATCACGATACGTTTAGAGCTATATCAGGTGATTCCGTGGACTTTGGTTCTCGTGATACCAGGAAGGTGTGAAATGTATCATTATATACCTAGAACATGATTCTGATATCGATGCCGACCTCTTAATTATTAGGTTTATGGTTAAGGATATTCTATAACATATAGCAGATAGAAGCATAATAAATAGTAAAATTTCGCAAGGAACATATTTTGTTAGAACACAAATGACTGTTTTGTAAGTAAACTTTCAAGATACAAGCTATTTTTCAAAAGTAAGCGTTTGTTTTCAATTTTTTTTTTGCGTTACACATTGATCTTGCGATTTGATTTTAGGGGAATATCGGATGAGATCGGAATTACATGACCTCCTTGTCATTTTTCACAATATCCCCGACCATTTTTTCGAATCTTTCCGCGTAAAAATACCAACACCGAATTTGCTTTTGATATGCTAAAATTACGCGTTTTTCAGCTTTGGTCGCTTTTCGGTACAATCAGGCTAAGTCTTTTGATATCGAATCCTCGGACCCATCATCCCTTCAGCTTCGGCAGATTCACCTTTTTTTGGTAGGCGTGTATAATTCTTGCAACAGATCTTGCAATTATCCCGCTCGCAAGAGGATCGTTATTTTCTAAACCCGAACTCCTAAATCAGCTTCATCCCTACAACGACCATACTTTGTCGAGTTAAATTATATCCCGCAGACTTATTGTCAGAGCCACCAGCGGGTGACAACTTCGAGCTTAATCCTTCGGCTTCCTCCTCAATCGGTTCAACGTCTTTGTGGTATCCAAAAATGGGACGGTACGTGATGACTGTAAATTCACCAAACACAAAGACAAATTCGCGAAATCCAAATGGATGGCTCTATTCATACAGTTTTGATTAATCCTGGCATTCAAATACCTTTCACATAGTATTTTTTCACAAAAGGAATATGATATTGGGGCTCAAAAGGGAATCTGACCACCTTTTTGTGAACTTCATTCTGCAATCACACAATATCTTGTTGTATTTGAGAGACCGTTTTTTCAAATTTTTTTCCTTCATTTTGAGGTTGATTGTGCAAGCTTATCTTTTCATGAAATTAAGTTCTCCATAAAGGCGCAGTGTTGATCAATGCGATATCTGATATGGTGGATTGTAAGATGAAAAAATTACACAAAAGACACTATCAATTTTGACCGAGGAATTAGGGGTCGAAGTTATTGTTCGAAATGAGGCAAATACATCAAAAACTTGCAGCTAGTGTGGGAATATTCAGAAAATCATAGATTTCTCTGTTAATATTTCGGATTTTGAATTATCAAATGTCCTAAATCCTAATTTAGAAATTTTTTTACAGATCATTTGGTCACTAATAATAGTATTGATCCATCTGATAACTTCATATATTTGTTAGCTATTAAATAATAATATGGGTATAGTTAATTACGTTTTTGTGTTTTTTAATCCCTTTTTGTTCTTACTAGCGCTAAATAAGTAGGATTCTTCAATTCAATAAAAGATATTTCTGAATTCTTTTAATCCAATAATAGTTGTTTCTGTTAAACAACGATAACATGTGTACGCGCGTTAAACACACAGTGTAGTAACACATGTACCATTCTTGTTCTTTGGATTAAGAATTAGCAATAAATTGTAATGACACGCGGAACATAACAATCAAAACGCCCAGATCTGAATGAAAAAAAGTGGGAATATTTATGTGAAGATGATGTCACGCTATTACTTTTTTGACTCATAATAAATGTATTGTCTATTAGTATTACACAAAAATGAACAAAAATGCCGAAGTCCTATTAATGCAAATTATATTATTAATCAAAATACAGGCTTTCAGGGTTTGTTATTATTATTAAAATTGCCGAGTAAAGAAGTTTGAATCTAGCACAGAAAATAGCGTGTATTCATGTGCATGCCTCTTAACTCATAACCAAACAAAAACGGTTCAAGCAGACTAGTTTAATTCAGGTTGAATTTACGTACATACATAGCTTATCGGTATTGTTTAGAATGGTGTATGTAGCATTTTATTATTATGTATTAAATGTTTCGTGTTTCTTAAAATCTACGTATATGTATCGAAATTCACCCTTGTTATCTTTTGATTGGACTAGCTGGTAATTGGTTGATTCTCTATTGGATTATACAATGACTTTGGCATGCACAGGTAAATTATTTTTTTCCTATTCAAGTTTATTCTCTGATTTTTAATTTAGACGATGCTAAAAATTTATTTATATATGGTCTAAGATAATATATAAATAAATTTTAGACTCGTTAATAAGAAACATTATTAGCTTTTTGTTCTCTTGTTATCCTTTTCTTTTTTACAATTTGATAATTTCGTTTATCTCAATTTTATTAATTGTCGATTGATTCGATTGATCGAGTGTTCAACTTAATCGAATTGATCGTTGAGATATTTTTGCGCATTTTTTCTTGTGCAATTTTCGAAATTCAGAAACCTTTTACATTCCTTCAATGTAATTAATCATCGGCATCAGCATCATCTTTCCTTCTTTATTCTTTTGTGTAATCCCAAATAGTAAAACAACTACAAAACAAAGAAGATCCAATCTACTCCTACTTTCTAGTACGTACTTGCTCCTAGACACAACATACAACATAAATCAATCATACAGTGTGGTGGTTTCGCAACCTTTGGTCTTTCTACATTCTACTCTACTTGCATAACATTTACGCACGACTTGCTTACAAACAACACAACTTTCGGGGTGGTTACCAAATTCATTACTACTTTTGCACTTGTTCCGCTTCTATCATTTGCTTTTATTATAACGCGCATACACGCTTACTTACTGGGCTATCTGAAAATAGTGTGGTGGAAAGAAGACAATTAGCGAGTAGTTAGTTCTAAACTCTATACACAAAGAACTTTACACGTAATATATATAATGTTGTGGGCGAATGTTTATACAACAACAGCTACAACAACTATTAGTGAGGTAGAGAAACAAAAAGAGGAGGAGGACGACGAAGAGGAACTATCGATAACATCCTCAACTAATAAAAAAACATTAACAACACAACAAAAAAGCTCTTGTAAAACTTTTAGTGCCTTGTCAAGCACAAATACAGCTTCCATAACACCAACATTTAAAAAGAATAGTAAAAAAACACGACGACTAAATGATTTCTTTACCTTGACAAAATTAGTATTTACAACGGTGCCTTTTTTACTGTCATTGTTTAGCACAGTGCAAGCATCGACGACGGAAAATATACTACATAAACGATGTAAGTATTAAGTAATTATTATTATGTACTTTTCTATGAAATACACGTGAAAAATGAATTAGGTAGTGATAATTTAACATCTCAATCTTTACAATTTAGACTCGGCAAATGCATTATGTCCACTATTAGGAGTTGGAGAAAAATATTGTAAACCGACAGTAAATCAAACTTTTACTTCCTTAGATTGGATACTATTCGCATGGAATACTCTTGCGAGTCCGTTTCCGGTTGAGGGAGCATTAGATATTTATCTGCGTCGAACTCAAGGAACCAAAATTGTGGAAAGCAGGCAACATGTTTCCAATAACTTGGGTCAACTTTCGTTTCAGCCCCAAAGTTACTGGTTTGAACCGTATGATCCACAAGCAAACAATACTTTTGAATTCTTTTTTGTCGCTACACCGTTAAACCAGAATCCTGATGACTTAACTGATAGCGGACCTAAATTTTATATTACACGTGAGTTTTTATTGGATTAATTTATGCGTAATCATAATGTTAATAATGTTGATGACAATGATATAGAATTACCTCCATCGACTCAGTCACCATCAGCCGCTATTGTTACTGTATCAGCACCGACCATAACCACAACAGCATCTTTAGGATTGGATAATGGTTCACAATTCGACTCGTCAAAACACTCTTCAGTCACCACCCCGATAATTGTCATAATAGTGGTTGCCGGATTTTTATTGCTTGTTGCTATTGCTGGATTGGCGTTCGTCATATTGACGAGATCGAGAAATAAAAAGAAGCGACCTCAAAGTATTTCAAATATTTCAACATCTTCAAATATCCCAATTATGGTTCAAACGAATTTCCTTGACAAAGACAAACATAAAAGCGGTGAACCGGAATCACCAATTGAGGCATCGTCAATATATTCCACGACTCCATTGGCGACAAAGAATAGCATGTCGAGTTTAAGTCAAAAATTGGCCGGCGGAATTGGTGTCACGACTACCACCACCACCACCTCAACTGCGACACCACAATCTGGTCAGACTCCACCACAGAGTGTGTCTTTCTCTTCAGAATCTAATTTGTTACAGCATCAACAATCACCTGCATTTGATGCGGCAATGATTTCTGATGCGTATCGACAAACATTGCGTAAACCGGCTTGGCAAGAAGAAGATGACGACGAGGAATTTGACACAGAAATTGGACTTTCGGAAGAAGAACGACGGAGACGACGAGAAGCCAAAGAAATAATGAAGCAAGAATTAGCAGAAGAAGGTAGAGGATTACATAGTGTACAAAGACATACTAAAGTGCAGGTTCACAAAATCGATGAAGACGAAGACGCGGAATAGATGGTGGACGTCCATTATCAACAACCATCCATTTATCACCTTAATTCCCTACCAACCTAATATTTATCACAATGACATTAACATTTATATAGCCGATTATTTAATTAAATTTGGTTTTTACAAAACCTTTGAATGGATAATTATAATCTAAATTCCAGCTTTATTTTTTTTGTGCGTAAACTCAATTATGTAATTATTTTTTTTTAAAAGAGTGATATTATCATTGATGAAAGCATTAGCATTGGGATAGAATCGGGGATAGCGTGGGCATAGCATAACATGGACTTGGAATTCGAATAAAACAACAAAGTAATGTGTGGTCGATTTCTGATTAATTGATCTGTTTTGTTTTATTTACTAATTTTTGTCGTTATTTTATCCTACAGATTATTTTTCCCATTCAGATTGTATTTGTAGTTTTTTTTTGTTTTAATATACATATCATACATACATACATAATAGTAATAATAATTATTTTTTTATTTCGACTTGCATTTACTACACGTCATCAATTTCTTCATCATCTTGTTTTTTTTTTTTTTTTTTTGCTTCAATATCAAATAACTTGTAAAGATAAGAATGAAATCAATAAACTACAAATGAAAAGCAATAACATGTAATTCCGTAACCAGATCATAGTATTAGAATGTGCATTCATGTTCTTCATTTTAGACATCGGGTGTGATACTGTTGGTAGGAAATTATAGATATACTCGAAGGGCGCGTTGACATCTATCACGTTTATTATAATATTACAAAAATTCTAATTTATTGCGATCGATAATTATATTAACTACCTATTATTTCTCTTCTTTCACTCAAAATTCATTAACCAAAGGAAACAAAAAACAATTTATCCGTATACTTACTTTAGTGGCGTCAAATCAGATTGATGTAGTAGTTATGAGCACCCAACACCAACACTTTTATCCCGGAGAAGCTTTAAAATCTTCGCGAGACATGAATGCCTCTATTAAAAAGAGGGAAGCTTTGCTCCACGTGTACCAAATACTTCGCCCCATGGATATCCAAGGTGCGGTGACGGCTATATTTGTAACTTTCAATCCTTAATGGATTCCGAATTGAAACTTTCAAGGATCAAAAAGTATCAATCCTCCTATTGAAGTTCACAAAGCTCAACCTGTCAAGGGAAACCTTGACCGATCCTCTGACACGGAAAATTTCTTGTTCGAATTTTTAAGCTTATACATACCATATTTATCGTGAAACGGAAAAAAAGGCGATTAACATATATTAATGAAAACAATGTGGCCAGATACCAATAGCAAAACTCATCTCGTTTTGTACATTGTGTTAGAATCGAATTCGGAATTTTTGCGATGACTCAATGTAATTGCGGAAACGGTTATAATAAAGATCAAAAGTTTCTCCAGCTCTAAAAC